GTACACATATTGCAGTATCTTGTGACATACTCTGAACATTATAACAGTATTTTCTGACACTTAGCTAAACCTCCTCTAGTTTTAAGTACAGAGTAACAATATTTGAAGAAACAACACTGGGGTATCAACTCCAGTTCAGTGTTTAGGCAGTAGCAAAATGAAGATATTCATAACCACCACTTCTTCTATTATTGCAAAAACTAGCTCAGTAGTATGGTAGGAATAATAAAAAACAGACAAATTATATTCAGACATTTACATTTGTACCAACTAATCTGTGTAGAAACTGACTGAGTAGAAACACCAAAGAGTTAATAAGGAATGAAAGCTAACAGTAAGATCTGAAGTGAACAACCAGACATTAAACACAGTACAGACAGGAAGCAGACAAGAAGCTACATTTGTATTTCACTGAATTATCCATCTGAGAAAACCACGAACAACTTGTTGTTTCTGCCAGCAGACAAGCACATTGCTGTTCATCGAGACATACACAAACATGATGGGATGTCACTGAAAGAGAGAGAGATAAAATGGGGAAAACCACTAGGTACAAGGAAACCATGCAAAGAAGAAGGAAAAAGAAAATTACTGTATGGAAATAATAATGCTTTAAATTATTTTTCCAACATTCAAGTCACAGATTACCATTTGCTTACGTATAAACATTAAAATCTTCCAACAAAATTAACACTAAGTAAATTTGGCAAAACAAATTATATACAAAACACTTCACAAAAAATACTTAATACCTCTTTTTGCACTTACTTATATTTAAAAAGGTTTAATTGATACTTTATGATAGCTGATCATGTTAAATTTAGTTAACAAAAAATGGATAACAGATTCAACATCAGTATTCCTTCAACTAGCATACAAAAATCATATGTTCTTCCACCTGTCAATTTACAAAAACAACTCTCTCTCTCTGAAGACTAATGAACTATATACAATAAAAGTTATTTTTTTCATATAATAATAAAACCAGAACAATCATTATTTAAGTGTAAAAAATATTTTCTATTGTTAGTCTTAGAAACAAACTTAATTTTATTTAATATTTAAGAAATTAGATAAATGCTTTCTTCAGATCAATCTGTTGGCAAAATGGCACCATACCATACATTAAAAGTTTCAAATTGGCAATAAAAGTAAACAAAACATTAAAAAAAGGTTAAACTAAATTCATAATAAACACAAGCAATAGCGTACCAAAAACTTGAATACAATATAGTGACTGGAAATACTTTTCTCTAAGGAAACAAAATTTGATCTTAAACAAGTACATGTGAATGGCATAATTTGTTTTCAGAGGTTTTGACAGTTCTGGTGCTAGATGGAAAATTCAAACCATCTCTATAAATGATAAGTATTACAAATTTAGAGTATGTCTTTTGGTTAATCCTTGTGTTTTAGCGTGACCCTTTTTTTTTCAAGGAATCACACAGCTAAACAGTACTGTTTTGTGTATAAATTAACTCTCTCACTAAGGTACTATTGTATTAATTAATTTTTTATTTAATTAAATGATGCATCAAAGAACACAGAATAATCACATGTAAAATGCAGACAATGTCCCATTACTATCACAATTTTTCTGACTTTCTAACTATAAGACAAGAGCTGTTAAAAATTCAGCTTAGCTCTTCAATGTGTTTTCTGTGGGAATAAAGTTTGAACTGGAAATGAAATAGACAATTCTTTGCACAGAAAATAATATAATATGTCATTTGATAAATGAAAACCTTGGCTTTCTATTAGTTATAAGTAATATAGTATTGAGTGTCAGAGAGAACTACTGGCAATTTGTGAAAAAGAGGATGTGACATGTGGGTTCTGATTTTAAATTTTATGTCTCTGTAACTAAATAACATTGAAGGCTATAAAAATTATGCTTTGCATGAACAATGACAACATTATAATGAGTTATTTACATTAAATTTCATACTTCTTGAAGGGGTAGTGCTTAGATAGAAAATGTTACAATTCTCGCATTAGGGGAAATTCAGGATTTTTTATTAATATTGCCATGTAATATTATCAACTTAAAACTTAAATAATATAATAAGAAAGTAGTTT